GCCCACTGCCCTGGGGAGCCTGGGCAGTGCCCAACCAGCCTCTGGGGGAAGAACCTTTCCCTGAGATCCAACCTGAGCCTGCCCTGACACAGCTCCAGCCATTCCCTGGCTGCTGTCCCTGGTCCCCCCAGAGCAGAGCTCAGTCCCTGCCCCTCCTCTGCCCCTGCCCAGGAATTGGAACTGCACTGAGCTCTCCCCTCAGTCTCCTCTGCTCCAGCTGAACAGAGGTGACACAGAATTGGCTCATGTTGACACCACAGCTTTACACACTCTGAACTTTCCAGCTGCCCCTTTCCCAGCTGAAACAGCAGCATTATTATCACACTGAAGGGACTCATATGGAACACTATCATTCTAATATCAGGGGTGACATCTCTGATGGTTCTGGATCCTTCCAGTGCTGTCCATCACTGCAGGCACCTCTTGGCCCCTCTGGTACCAAGGTCTCCACACCAGCTGATGAAAAGCAGCTCCTTCATTCTGGTCTAGTTCACAAGTTTGCAAGTGAAAAGAAAGAGCCCTAAAAGCTGTGTCAGAGGTGCAGAGGTCACACTGCAGGGCTGGTTTGGGACACACCTCCCCGCACTGGAATGCAAGAGTCTGTTCACCTCTTCTCCTCAAAGGTAAAGCTTCACTTTAAGGTGACAGGAAGGATTTAGTCCACCATCATTCACATCAATACATGCTGATCAACTGCAAGACATTATTGCTACTGCAATTTTTTATAAGTAATCCTTTAAATCTTTGGAGGAATGATTTCCCAACCACAAACACACGTGGGCAGTGAATGCCTGTCCAACTGTGTGTTACTTCTTATAATACTTGCTTAATTCCTCTAATTAAAAAAAAAAATCATAAAACCCTATAATCTTAGACATTAAGGTCTTTTTGAAGGAGAAACTGCAAAATAAAATTCATGCTTGTAGTGTTTATAATACATTAGTTTCGTTACAGGAATACCTCTACAAGAGCACTCTGAAAGCACAATTAAATTGCTGATACTGTTAAAGAGAAGGGGGAAAATAAACTAACAAAAAAGCCAAAACCCCCAAACAAACAACAACAACAAAAAAAAAAAATAAAGAGACAAACAAACAAACAAAACCAACCCAATCACAAAACACTTGGAAACTAAGGAAAAAGACAAAGGTGAAGTGCTTGTATGACCTTAATTCACCTCCATTTTATCCTTAACAGAGAATACCAGGAATCTTATCTGCAGCCTTCACTGTTATAACAGCAATAGCTGTTTGCAGTGGCAGCTCTCCAAGCAGAGATACCGTGCATAGAAAAGCACATGGGAAACCAAGTATCAAGATCATAAACTGCTAATACAAAAAGTTATTATAAAAAACCCAAACAACTATCTGAATTATTTGTAATTCTCTTCTTGGTCACAACAATCTGTAGGTGCAGCTGTGAAGGTGCCAAAAAGCTATTTAAATTGAAAGTCTGGCATTTGTCCTTTATCACCCTATTAAATTTTTTAAATGTGATCTTAAGGGCCAAAAATGATGGGAGGAACATTACCTGCTTTTGGAGAAAAAGAGATCATTATTTTTAGCCATCATATGTGTGAAGAAAAAGTGCCCTGACACTAATATATCAATATTTGGAACTAAACACTAAAATGCCAGGCCTTGAATACCATCATTTGTATCCATTTGTCTTGACACTTAAAAGTCACCTTAACAAGTGACTGTTTACCCCACCGAGCAGTTCTGCAAAGCTGAGCTGAGGCTCAGGAAAGGCAGTAAATTAAATCCAAGGGAGAGAAATGCAGGTGCTCAGGTAACACCAGGAAGAAACAGTTCCCACTGTGCCCAATTCTCCTTCAGCTCAGTGGCAGATTTCCCACGTGCTGGGCCTGGGCCCAGAATCAGGAGGCAGAGAAACTTCTCTTCTTTTGTGTCTTGGCAAAAGGATTGAAAATTTTCCACCTTGAAATTCCTGTGGGCTTTTCTGAATGGCAACTCTTCTGCTGTGGTAACAGTAAGTGCTCTTCATTAGCCTGATTAAGTCAGTCAAAATCTGTGGGAAGATTTTAAATAAATTCGCTGGGCTTTGGGTCAGCAAAATGTAAATGACATAAAGATGCAGCTCATAGCAAGTAATCCTGCAAAGAGTGACCTTTCCTTTACTCTCACTGAGGTCAAGGAGAGTTGAGGACATCAAGTCCTTGATCTCTGACTTAGGTCCAACAGCTTTTAAAAGACTATCAGGTATGTTTGAAAGCTTCAGTGTATTTAGTAGAGGCTGGGGTGAAATCTTTATCATATGCTATAAAATAAAATAATTCTAATTCCTGTATGCTGGGACTTTTTCTGAAGTAGCTCGAAGCCCTACTCAGGATCTTCAGAACAGACTTATGTTTTCAAATATCATTTTCTGATGGGGAAATCGAAATTTTCTAGTCTGAATTTAAAGCCATTGTCCTCATTAATATAAAAATTAGAAAAAAGGGATGTAAACATAAAAACACTTATGGATATTTGAGTTTCATAACCCAGTACTATGACTTCACTTTCTTACCTTTCCCTTGCCAAAAAACCATTTCCATCTCCTGGACTAGGGACAATAGCAGCAAAACCTATTATTTGTATGAAAATCATGAGGGGCACTCTGAGGGAAAGTTAAGATTGAACCAAGGCAGGGCCTCCAAGTTGGTCTGCAGGAGGCACAGCACCCACAGCACAGCAGGGTTTATTAGCTTGGTTTAGCCTGGCAGGACACAAGTAAGGGGCAGAATGTGTGCCTGCAGTCTGCTGAGAAGACATATGCTAAATATCCCAGGCTTCAGGAAATATCCTACATCATAATAGCTCTGCAGTTCTCAATTTGTCTGCCTCCAGACAAATGTTTTTCAGGTGTTTTTTTTACAGGAAGCATTCCCTTGTTCAGAATTGAATTTAAAATGCTTAAACAAGGCAGCCAACAAAACAGGTCTAACATTTAAGGTCATGGCGTTATGGCTCTGTCTCGCTCTTGCCTGTAGCCAGTGAGCTGGGAAAACAGGAGCTTCCTTCAGCCCACTGAAGCTGAAGGATGGCAGGAGTGGAGGCAGGGTCGGTGTGTGGGCAAAGAGGTGCTGCCAGGACAGACCCTGGAGCAGCAGGGACAGCCCAGGGGGAGCAGAACCCAGGACAGACCCTGGAGCAGAACCCAGGACAGACCCTGGAGCAGCAGGGACAGCCCAGAGGGAGTAGAACCCAGGATAGACTCTGGAGCAGAACCCAGGACAGACCCTGGAGCAGAACCCAGGACAGACCCTGGAGCAGAACCCAGGACCCAGACCCAGAACCCAGGACAGACCCTGGAGCAGAACCCAGGACAGACCCTGGAGCAGAACCCAGGACAGACCCTGGAGCAGAACCCAGGACAGACCCTGGAGCAGAACCCAGGATAGACTCTGGAGCAGAACCCAGGACAGACTTTGGAGCATAACCCAGGACAGACCCTGGAGCAGCAGGGACAGCCCAGGAGGAGCAGAACCCAGGACAGACCCTGGAGCAGAACCCAGGACAGACTCTGGAGCAGAACCCAGGACAGACTCTGGAGCAGAACCCAGGACAGACCATGGAGCAGAACCCAGGACAGACTTTGGAGCATAACCCAGGAGAGACCCTGGAGCAGCAGGGACAGCCCAGGGGGAGCAGTTGTGCTCAGCCCCTCTGGGCTGCAGGGCACTCCCTGCACAGCCCTGGGCTCGAGGCAGGGCAGTGCCCAGCACCAGGGCACGGAGCCTGCTTGTGTGCATTCCCTGTTCCCACCCACTTCCTGCAACACACAACACAGGAAAACACAAAGACACCCTGCTCTATCCAGGCTTGCTATCTACAGAAACACAGAACACTCTGAGCTGGAAGGGACCCATGAGAATCATCGAAGTCCAGCTGTGTAGGCCAAGCTCCCATCCAAGGAGCCTGTCTGCATTCCCACCAGGACAGAGAGCACAGAGCAGAGTGAGGAGGGAATGAATAGTTTCCCCTGGCACCCTCTTGGTGTCACAGACAGGACTAAAAACTTGGGTACACCTGAGCTGGCTCCTCATGGAAACGCCGCAGATCCGTCTGTTTGCACCCCTCCTCATTGGCAGGGACGTGATGGACCATCTGCTGGGTCTGCCAAGCCTCAGAATGACCCACATGAGTCAGGATTATTCACCACAACTCTGCCCCTCAGCACGAAATCCTGCTGCCCTGCCAGCACTGTCTGCAGCCCAGCTCTGTCACAGCACTAGGGATTGGGGGTGTGGAGGACAGACCTCAGTGACACTGCACTGCAGAGCCCTCAGTGACACTGCACTGCAGACAGACCTCAGTGACACTGCACCTCAGACAGCCCTCAGTGACACTGCACCTCAGACAGACCTCAGTGACACTGCACCTCAGACAGCCCTCAGTGACACTGCACCTCAGACAGACCTCAGTGACACTGCACTGCAGAGCCCTCAGTGACAGTGCACCTCAGACAGCCCTCAGTGACAGTGCACTGCAGAGCCCTCAGTGACAGTGCACCTCAGACAGCCCTCAGTGACACTGCACCTCAGACAGCCCTCAGTGACACTGCACCTCAGACAGACCTCAGTGACACTGCACCTCAGACAGACCTCAGTGACACTGCACTGCAGAGCCCTCAGTGACACTGCACTTCAGGCTCCAGCAAAGGTTCATTATCAAACAGCAACACCACTTCCTCTTCCCCCCCAGCCATTTTCCAACTTGGCTCTTCCAGGCAGGTGAGAGCAGGAATGAGCTGTGGCTGCATTGTACTGGTGGTGCCTGTGCACCTCAGGGATTATCCATATGGATTTGGAGATGTGCTTTTAGGGATTATGCTCTCGTTGTCTCACATGGCAGGGCAAGCAAAGATGTGGGCTGAGGAACAAAACACCGTATGATCCTTTTCTTCTCACTTTACCTGCCCTTGTTACTCTGAAAATAATGTACTGTGGCTTTTTTTTCACAGGAGTCTAATGAAAAATTCCTTTTTTCTTTCAGCTATGATGAATGTGTGGGGCCAGGAGCAACACAAATATATATTCCCACAGATGATCCCCCCCCATATTCTCTCATGGACCCTTGTCAAAGAAATGAAATATCTATAAATATCTATATTAGCCAGGAAGAGGAGGCAGCATCTGGGACTACAGGACAGGCTGCAAATTCTGCAGTCAGGCTGCAGGACTTGCAGCAGCCCACTCCATCCATCTCTGTCATCTCTCACCCTGGAGGCTGCGCCCCTGTTCAAGACAGTGGGGTGTGAACAGAATATCCCCATCCCACGTGTTCCAACAGAAGTACAGAGCAGTTCTTCCACTGACTATCAGGCCCCAAATCATGTGAACAGAAGTGGCTCTTTCCTTCAATTCTTCTGAAGATCTCAGACCAACAAAAACACTTCAATGGAAGAATAAAACCTCTGGAAGTTTTACCTATTTTATATCTTTAAACAGGGATGCAACGGGATTTTGTTTTTTACAGTGACTTTTTAAAGTTTACCTAAACTTTCCTCTTTGTGCTTCAAAGTATTCCGTGACCTCACACAGCATAAAAGAGCAGCAGTGACAAGCAGTACACCTGCCCTTCCTGAAGCATTTCAAAACACACTGAAATCAGACACTCCTAATGCAGATATGTTACCCAGTCAAGCCTACTTGTTGATTTTAGGATAAAGGAAGGAAAGAAGGAAAAAGAAGAGCATTTTATTGTCATTAAAGGTATCACAAGTACATTTCATTCCGTTTCTTGGCAACAAAGCATTTTTAAATAATTTTTTTGGTCTAAGTATGTATTTCAGTGTAGAGAGACAAGGCACTGCCTAAAACAGACGGTGAACAGTACCATAGAGAAGCAAAAGAAAAAGGGAGTGTAATGTTTGGATAGCCACATTTTTCCTTTGGTGCCAGACTTTCCAGACCATTGCAAAGCCTGCTGTAAGTCTTCCTCAAAGAAACCATCAGCAAGTGATGGAGAAGTGGCAGTGGATGCTCAAACACCAGTTGGCTTTACCTACAGAAGTGCAGGCCTGGGAGCTTCATGTCCTTCATGGGGACTTGCCGTAGCCAAGGGAAGGGCACAGGAATCCCAGAGGATGCTTTATGCCAATTCCCACCCAGGATGCATTTTCAGGCATGACCTGGGCTCTTCTTTCAATAAGGGGTTGCAGTTTTGCTGCAGTGACCTCTAGGAACTGGTGAGTGTGATGTAAATAGTGGATGCTGGGCTGGGCACAGGAGCAGAGAACTCACTGTGAGCACAAACCTTGGAGCCGTTCCCAGCCCTGAGAAAAGAAACCAGGAAGGACAAAGCCAGTGAGTAGCAGCAGGACATTTCCATGCTGCTGCCAGGGTTCCCAACCAGCTGCCAGGGCAGTGAGTGCAGGGACCTGGAGCTGCAGGGCACAGGGACAGCAGGGGGTGACCAGGAATGGCCAGGGCACTCCAGCCCCCTTGTCCCCACGGATGCCATCGCTGGGACACGTCTGCTCTGACAGTGAGCCCCCCTGCACCCACCCAGCCCTGGCTGGGGGGGACACAGAGTGACACAGAGGGGCTCCCAGGCAGGGCGTGTGGCCCCGGGGTGGGCAGGGCAGTGGGCACACCCTGACAGCCGGTCCCTTGGTCACCTCTTGCTCCTTTTCCCCATGCAGATGATGCCAAGCCCCAGGACCCTGCAGCACCCTGCTGTGCCCAGCTCCCCTGGTGCTGGGAACACCCCTAAAGGACAACACACCCCAGAGATCCTGCTGTTCACCTGAGGTGCCAGAGGAAGAGCTGCTTTCCTCTCTTCCTTTTCATGGCCCAGCAAAACAAGTTGCAAGACTGGGACTAGAGGACAGCCCTGAGATCAAAGGGTGAGCAATGAGCACAGTTCCACCTGACTGCCTTAAAATAGTTTGGATCCTACTGTTCACTTCTGCCTGGAATAGTCCCACTCCTCATCTGGAAGCTGCTGTGAGTCTGGCTGAGGACAGACACAACCCACACAGAGAGCAAGGGGAACTCAGCCCTGTGCTTTCCTTGGGGGAGCACCCTTGGGAAACTTCTTGGCTGTGTTGTTTTGGAACTGGTAACTGCAAGAAAACCAATCCCTCTTGTGTTTGCACTAAACATTTTTAAGTCATTTTTAAGTTCTCTGTCTAATGGAAAACCCCTGGGTGTCTACATCTTCAGTGAGCACCACTCAGCAGAGTTATCAGAGGCACATTTCCACTAAATCTTAGGGGTATTTTCACTGAAATTAAAAAAAAAAGGTTTTTTTACACTTGCAGAAAGGACTTCATTTACTATTTCCACCAAGGGATACATAAAACTGAGTATAGCAAATCTATAATTGTATTCAAAAGAAACCATCATCCAAATTATTAAAATTGCACTTAGATTTTCTGTAAATACGGAATAATTTTCAACTGTAATCATCATTCAACACTCCAAAGATTGACACAGTTATAATTAATACTTAGATGGGAAGTAATTATATGGTTCTTACTGCTATATAAATTATACCATTACTGAGTCACATGCACTCGATGAGGCAAGGTAAGTATGCATTTTTTGTTAAGTAGATGACAGTAAATATGTATTTTGCTAAAATAACAGAATTCTTTTGCAGTTCAGTAAGATTTTCGATATTCTCAGTGTACTCTACCCAAAAGAACAAAAATACACCATTTTGCATTGCAAAACTGCTGGCAGGCATTGGCACAATGTAGGCTATATTTCATATTTTTATTTTTTAGCAGAGAGAACAATTCCTCTATACAAAGTACTATTTAAGCAGTTTTGTGGTACACAAAGTATCCTGCAATAAGACAAACAAACCCCTTCATCACCTATAAGGGGCCAGGGATGAAAACCAGCCCAGAAATGCACCAGTCAGTTTTATGGCAGGAAACTCAGAAGTGAAGGAAGGCACAGAGGTTTGTTTCTGCAGCAGAGGAGCTGCTCTCAGAGCTGTGCCTTCCTGCAGCTCTTGGAAACCTGCCTAGAACACAGAAAGGCCACGGGACCAGCCCAGCTTCCTTCAGGCTCAGGCTGGGGAGGTGCAGGGGGAAATCTCATCCACAGAAATTAGAAGGCAAATGTGATTTCTTTTGTCCTCACAGCGAGCCTCTTACATGCAACCTGACAAACATGAACATTGCAGACAAGCACAGAGGGCTCTTCACACGTGGCACACAATGTGTCTGTGCATGGTGGGGGACCCTTTGGACCTATTTGGCTTTTAACCTTTTTAACAGGGATTTCCTGCCCTTCCACTAACTCTCTATCTGTAGTTCACAAAACAAGGTGATTTTAAGCAGACCTCTGATGAAAATGGGAGATGGACATTTTACTTCATGACAGCAATGCATTAGGAAGGTTATAGAAAACTGATCAAAGTCTTTCATCCTTTGGTAATGTTGAAGCATCCCCAGCACTGTGGACTGTCAGTGGCAGCGTTTCTCACACTCTCTGCTCCCTCTGGTGGTGTGAACCACTGCAGAAAGTCTGGCCATCCTCACAGCACAGATTCACCAAAATAATCAGATCAATCCCAGCTGCCTGGTCACACGGATATGGAGCCACCCAAAACATACACTGCCATACTGTAGCTTTTTCTAAGTTATCACTGAACACAAGGGTTTGTCATTCATTGCAAACAAATATCTTTACAAAACAAACTGTGAATTAAAGGCAGAGTGATACCTTACCATGATCACCTGCAAGAGTGGCTTAGAATTCTCTGCTCTTGTTAATGTTTTTAACTGAGTGATGTCCAACAAAGCTGTGGGGGGAAAAAAAGTCTTATAAATCCAACCAAATACCTCTGCAAACAGACAGCACTAGAAAGAGAAGTTTTAGCTCTAAAACACTACAAAGAGAAGTTTGCAGCTCTAGAGCTGCTCCAACAGCTTCCAACACTACTACTGCAACAGCGATGAGATTTGTTGTAATGATGCAATAAGAACCTGTTTTAATTTCTTTAAGAATATTTAAGATCTCAGATAAATCTCAGCAAAGTGGGCAGTGTCTCTCCTGATGCTGCTCTTAAGAAATTCTTATTCTGCTGTCAGATTTTATCCTAAACTCTTGGAAAATTCTAATGCCAGTGCTAAAAGCCAGGTTTAACACAGAGCTTTCATTTCTTACATGACTAATAAACTGCTTGGCCATGCTGTTCCTTGCTATGTGATCACAATCCTGTATTTCTGTAGTCACCTCTTTTGGTTCTACTTTTAGTACTGATCTTTACACAGAACTTTTAGTAAAGAACATCCACTCTTGGTATGGTTCCTGTGCTTTTTTATGTTGCCAGTACCACTTTGGGACACCCACCTTTAGTCTCTGGGTAATCAGGCAGTTGAGGAACTGCTGACAAAGCAACATTGTTCTTTAATCACTTCCATTTGGATTTTACATTTGTCAGGAATAAGCAACCATGGGAACACTCAGGTCAGTGTGTGCCCAGCCAAGGTCAGAGCAGGAAGAAGAGTCTACAAAGTTGAAAACTGTTAGCCTTGAAATGCTCTCAGGATTTCTAGAAGCATCGGAAACCCTCACAAGTACTTTCATAGATACCTGAGAAAATCACTGAAGTCAGGACACTGGAAAATAGCTACATACCACCAAGGGAAAAGATGAAATGCTGGGAAATAAAAGGTCAATTCTCCCAGAAGTGTTCAAACAGATAATTTTTTAGCACAGCAAGGCGAGTAATGGTTTATTCCTGAATGGAAAGCACATCAGACTGATTTAACTGGTCTTGGTACAGTCTGACAAATCATTCCCCTCCTTAAACTACAGAAATACTTTCTATATAAAATTATAGCCATAGCCTTCTATGAATTAAAATAATAATCAGCATACAAGGGAGTCTGTACCAATTTCTCTGGGTTAGTTTGAAAGGATGTGTCAGAGATGTCCTAATGAAAATACTGAGTGTTGCTGGATTTCAGAGCTCTGGATTTCAGAATCTCTGGATTCCAGAGAATGGACCTATTAAAATCAGCACACTACATCAAACTAGGAGAAGCAGCAGTATGTAGGAGGACAGGACAGGAATTTGAAGAGAGAAATAGCCTTGAAAGCACAAGGTGCAATTCAGTGGACACATATGCAAGTCCTGCACTTGAGAAATGTAGGCTCCAATTCCCAAATGCACCACACAGTGACCTGTCAGAAGGCAGGAGAATGTCTGAGGATGAGACTCAGGCAAGTGTGGGCTGAATATGAGCCAACAGTGTTACACTACTAGGAAAAAAAGGAAAAATTAACATCAGCAGCCTGGAAATATAAACAGTGCTATTGTTCTTAAACCATTCCAAACAGCTGTCCATTCCCTCCTGCTCTGGTAGGAAACAGAGCCCAGGCTTAGGCTCTACAATCTGATGAACCTGATGCCTGGAAGAAGGAACAAGAAAGTTAAATGGCCTGGTTATTATTTTTCTTGGGTTTGCATGACAGAGAACAGAAAGCTGTTCTTCACTGCCATATAGAAATGAGATTTTAGAACTGAGGGGAAATGGAGAATTAATATTTGATACATAGAGGAAGAAAGATTCCACATTACCAGAGATGGAAAGGGCAAGTTTCAGTTTGCCCCTTCCAGCAGAGCTTCCCACGTGCTCTCTTTGTCACTGTCTGACAGTGTCTGATGGTTCTCCATGGTCTGGGAGTTGGCAGTTGTGGTGTTTTCAATCTGTATTAGCAGCTCTCCAAACCCCAGAGGCTCTGCCAATACCCTCTGGAAACAGATTCTCTTAGCCCAGACCACACTGGTGACCCATGGCTTCCAAGGCCATACTGTTGTCACAGCAAAGACCTTTCAGTGAAAATACTCATCACCAAAATTATATCCAATATATAGAGAGCACCTCCAGCTCCACTGATGTTCTACATGTGAGATGGAAATTGTAGATAGACCAGATACTAAAGTCATGTTTTCTGAATTCCCAGCAGCATTTCATGCATTAAAACTTCTCAGCTAACAAAGGACATACTCCTTTCCCTTTTCCTCAGCTCACAGTACTTTGTGCTTGAACACTGCTGACTGAACTCATAAGAATATGAGAAATTTGCAGCTCAGATTTCAGACAGGTCCAGATGTTCTCATTTCCACCAAAGCAAGATAAAATAACAAGCAAAACATCTTCCATGTCCAGCAGAGGCACAGAGTTAAAGCTTTAGGAACACAGAAGAATACAGGGTGGTTCATCATGTTTTGGCTCCAATGCCTTGATCCTCTTATTTGTTCTCCAGCATTCTCTACCAATATTGTTCCAAAACCTTGCTCAGCCTAAATCAGCCCAACTGCAATAAGAGTCAGGTGTGTGGCCTGATGTGATTCACCAGGTATTGGCATTGTGCCTTTTGATCTCCAGGAAACAGCAAGTTTGCAGGAACAGCTGGAGGTGGCCATTCCTCCCTGCTGAATTCCTCCTTCTCTCCTATGGCCAGAGGTTTGCCTTGCTGTAGTCTTAAAAAAACTCATAGATTCTGATTCTGTTACACTCCAAATGAACCCAGTATATTTACAATGGAGAGACTTCTTTTTTAAAATTTAAATTCAAATTACAATGAAGCAGCAGAAGAAACCTGTAAAAATTAGGATTATTTTGTCACAGCTTTGTCATAGCAGGATTTTTTATTTCTGCAAGAAACTGAAATCAGTAATAAACAAAACTATTTTAGACCAAAAAAAAAAAAAAAAAATAAAAAAAGAAAAACTTCTTTGCAAATCCTTTCAAAATCTCACTGAAGAAGGAAGAGCCTGATAGAAGATCTCACAGCTCAGGGAACTGCAACTGGACTTTCAAGTACCCAAGTGCTCTGCCCCCTTGGCAGTGATGGGATTGGTACCTCATTGGTACCACACACACATGCCAGGGAAGTGATTAAGCTTCCCTTTTAGAGAACAGAGTTTTATAACACTAGAATCTTCAAAACACAGAAAATAAATCCCATCCTGGGAGTCTGTACAAGCAAAGTAATTCAGGGAATATCACCTCACAGACAGCTGGATAGAGACACCTCGGTGTTTGCTGTGTGATGCAGGTACAAGATGACCTCACTTTAACATGGGGGCACCAGGGGCATCTGTCCCCCCTTCCCTCTTGGCTGCACCAGCAATTTTTATACAACAATTATCCACACAGAAATTCTACAGAAGTATTTCCTAATGACATGTCACTTGGAATGACGATCACCAGCACGTGTTTTTGGAAAGTCCTCTTGCCTGGAAAGCCAGAGAGGAAACCAGCTCGTTTGCAACACTCCACATGCACCTTCCAGGGGAAAAGACACAGGACTGGGGAGGCCAAGCAAGGCCAAGATTTCAGTGGACCGGGAGAAGCCACCCACTCTCAGTGGTTAGCAGTGAGACAGATATTCACTTTTAATCTGTCCTGTCATGAGGACAATCTGTAATAAGATGAGGCATTAAAAAGACATGAAGTCTTTTTAATGCACACCTGCAGCAAGTCAAGTCAGTGGAGACACCACTGATGGCACTGGTCCACACAAAAATTAAGGTCATGGGAGGCCAGTGCCAGCACTGGTTTGGGAAGTCACACAGGTGCACAGCGTCGTAGTAGCCACAGGTGGTGACTCAAAAATTCAGATTCCAAATTCAAGATTAGCAAAATCACCTGGATCACAGGTGTGATTTCCAGCTGCTGGACCTGACCTCCATTTAAACCCATTCCAGGACATTGTCAGCCACCTCAGCAGACACAAGTCTGTTCCAGCTGTTCCCCAGACCTGGTGTGACTGTTCTGCTGTGACACATCATGACACCTCATGACAAGAGCGACACCTCACGACACACCCTCACTCCCAGTGACACACCCTCACACCCGGTGACACACCCTCACTCCCAGTGACACACCCTCACACTCGGTGACACACCCTCACACCCGGTGACACACCCTCACACCCGGTGACACACCCTCACACTGACAGCCAGACCCTCAGGATTTGAATCAGACTTTAACAATGAAAATAAAAATTCAGTCAGTAGCTGTAGCTGCACAGTTATGATTACACAAGTGATTTGAGAATGTTTGAGCTTGGCTGACCTTGTGTTTTAAGGCAAAGGGAAGACAATTCCAAGAGGAATGGGCTGTCTGGGAGAGAGGCAGGAGCGATACCGGCAGGACTGAGCAGTGCCTGGGGAAAGGCAGCTCCAGCAGTGAGAGCTCGGGGCAGCCAATGGACCCGCTGAGCTCGGAACGGACCCAGCTCCAGAGCAGGGCAGAGCTGCCCCTGTGGGCTCAGTGGAGAGACACAACGAGCAAAGAGGGGCTGAGCACTGACTGACAGCAGGTGATGCCAGCTGTAACCAAGGAATGCCGATGCCTTTGTTTGTTAAAACGTACGAGTGGTGTAAAGTTTCGGTGATGGGGAGCCCCCTGCGGGCTCCCTGCTTTGCACAGCTGCAATACAAACAGAAATGCATCGCCTCGGTGTGTTAATCGGCGCTGTGCCGGGGAAAGAGCCCGCGTGCGGCTCAGCACCAGGCCGGGACGCGCTCCCATATCGCGACAGAACCTCACGGGTCGGGACACGCCCCCATGACAGGGCACGCCCCATTAGGGACACGCCCCCATGACAGGGCACGCCCCATTAGGGACACGCCCCCATGACAGGGCACGCCCCATTAAGGACACGCCCCATTAAGGACACGCCCCATTAAGGACACGCCCCATGGCAGGACACGCCCCCAGTCGCCACTTCCGCCCCGCCCTCCCGCCTTTCGCTTTCTGTTCCGGGGCTCCGCCCCCGTGCTGACTGACAGCCCGCAACACCAATGGAGAGGCGGTCCTTGGCGGCGCGGCCAATGGCGGGAGGCGTGGGCGGGGCCCGCGCGACACGGCGGCCAATGGCGGGCTGGGGGCGGGGCGCTGCCCGGCCATGGCGGCGCGGGGCCCCGAGGCGGCGGCGTTGCGGGCGCTGTACCTGTCGCGGGTCGCGGCCCGGCCCGGGCCCTGCGCCGACCCCGCCATTGCCGCCCGGGCGCGGCGGCTGCTCCTGGGCCCGGAGGGGCTGCCGGGCCTGGGGCACAGCGGGGCCCTGGACGTGCGCGCCGTCGCCGAGCGGTGCCGGCGGGCGCGGGGCGATCGCGCCCTGCGCGACCTGGTGAAGGCGCTGGAGCTGCTGGAGCTGCTCTGTCTCAACCTGCTGCTGTGCCCCTGGCGCAGGGAGATCCGCTCGCTCAAGGTACGGGACCGGGGGGAGCCGGGACTGCGAGGCCAAGCCCCGGGCCGGGGAGGGCAGCGAGGGATGGAGCG